GGGCAAGGCGAGGGTGCTACCAACTACGCTAAGGCCTGCCCACCGCGGCCGGGAGGGGACGACGGCTCAGGGCTCCACCCACACGCCACTGCTGGTCACCCGGGCCCCGAACCAGCCCTTCCAGTAGACGGAGTCCTGCCCGCCGTGCTCGAAGCGCACGAAGCGCACCCCTGGCCCGTAGTCGGTGAAGGTGTGGCAGATCTGCGGAGCAGGGGGGAGGGGGAGTCAGCCTCCTCGGGGCACTCGAGGCTTCCTCTGCCACCCCTCTCCGGCGCAGGGACCGGTCTCCAGCCCGGGTTCGGATTCTGCTCGGTGCGCGCTCCCCGCAGTCTTCCCGAAACAGCCCCGAGCCTGGGTCCAGCCGCCTTCCTCACTGTCCGGGGACACTGCCACCTGCCCTGTGTTGAACTCGGCCAGTACATCCTCGTGCTCGGACAGCAGCTTCACGCTGAGCTCGTACAGACAGCCGGCGTCGGAGCGGCCCGAGTACCTGCCGGAAGGAGGCCAGATGTAAACCCACTTCTGCCAAAGCCTCCACCTGAGCTATCGGGGTCTCCATTTCACAGAGGAGAGCAGCGAAGCCAGGGGCAGTAAACCCCAGGTCGGCCAGACCCAACTTTGAAGCCAAAGCCGCCCACAGAGGCAGGGGTTGTGTTGTTGTTGTTGTTGTTGTTTTGTTTTGTTTTGCTGGAGGATGGACCCAGAGTGTTCATCCTGAGCTATTTCCCCAGCCATGCCCACAGAGGCAGGGGTTGTGTTGTTGTTGTTGTTTTGTTTTGTTTTGTTTTGCTGGAGGATGGACCCAGAGTGTTCATCCTGAGCTATTTCCCCAGCCCCTTTTTTCTTTTTTGTTTTCAGACAGGGTCTAAGTCACTAAGTTGCCCATAATGGGCTCAAAGTTGCAATCCTCCTGCTTCAGCCTCCCAGAGTGCTGGGATTCCAAGTGTGTACCACCAGGTGTGGCTGCAGACAGGTTTTGTCCAGAGGGGTGGACCTGCTAGTCTTGAAAACTTTTCAAAGTCAGGAGAAACTGTCACGCTGCGGACCCTGACCCAGGTGCCACAGCGCTAATGGGTCCCTCTTTGTCCTTGGCTTCCCCCTAGCCCGTCTGGCCCCGGCCCTCACCAGTCCTTCACCACGATGGCCGGCTGGGTGGTGTCCAGCAGCTCCTCCCAGTATCCCTCGGCCTGCAGGTCAATGACCTGTGCCTTGCGACACCACCTGGGAGAAGGGAATTAAAACAAGTGAAGGGCCGGGGATTTAGCTCAGTGATGCCACCGCCTGCCTGGAAAGCACAAGGTCTTGAGTTGGATCCCTGGTACCAAAAAAATGCAAGGAGAGGACCATCCCCTCCCCCATCCCGACCCTCCCCCTTGCCCCCTCTTCCTTACTCACTCGAAAGAGGAGGCGAAGTACTTCTTGACGCTGTCGTCCTGAGGGAATTCCACCCCACTGTCTCCAGGCAGCTCCTCCACCCTCCAGCCGTCCCCACCGTGCTCCACGTCGCACCAGCCCTCCAAGTCCTCTGTAAGGACAAGGACAGCCCCACCCTGGTCACCCAGTCCTTGCTGAGGCTGCAGCAGGACTGTTTTCTTTTTCTGGTGCTGGGGATTAAACACAGGGGCTTCCCTGGGCTGTATCACCGGAGATCGAACTCGGGTCCCTGTGCTTGCGAGCAGGCGGTGGAACCACTGAGCTAAATCCCCGGCCCTTTAATTTTTTATCTTGAGACAAGGTGCTGGGATGACAGGTGTGTGTCACCAGCCTGGCTCCTAGAGGGCGGGGCAGGTGGCGGTGGGCTGCAATGGCCACTTCCGGCCCCTCCTCCTGGGCGCCCGTGCACAGGGCCATTGCGCCCAGGCTTACTGAGGCCCGACACCGGGAAAGTAGCCAGGCACAGCGATACACTTGGCAGCACGGCCTGGCTGGCCCTGGCTTCCCCTGCCCTCCTCAGCGCGGCCGGCCGGCCTCACCTTCCCCGCACGGGTTGCGTAGCAGGTTGCGCCTCCGCTTGCTCAGAAAGTAGAACTTCTGCCAGTGATCGCGCTCTTCCTCTTCTCCACCGCCCTCCGGCACGAGCCCCTCCTGCTGGCACTTGAGCAACCACAGCGGGGCGCCATCCACCAGCTCCTTCCAGCGCAGGCACACCAGGCGGCAGGCCTGCATCAGCTCCACGGCGGGCAGTTCCGCCAGCACGCGCAGTAGCAGCGCCTCCGGAAGCTCGGCCAGGTAGGCGGCCGTCTCCAGCTCCTCCTGCTCCTCCTCCCCGGGCTGCTCTCCCTCGGTGCAGGCCTCCTCCAGGCTCACCTCCTCCGGCTGGCCCACGCTCTCTGTGAGCAGATGGGGGAATGGCCACGCTGTGACTCCCCCAGACTGTCCCCCTCTGTGACCACCTGCACCCCCCAGGGCAACCACAGCTGCCAGGAGAGATTCTGTAACTCCTCATGAGTGCCCAGAGAGACATTTGTCTTAGGATGTGATCAGCTTTTTTGTTGTTTTGTTTTGTTGAGATAGGGTCGGGCTATGCAGTTCAGGCTGGCCATGAACTCCCAGCAATCCTCCTGCCTCAGCCTCCCTAGGGCCAGGATTACAGGCATGCCCCACAATGTCTGGCTAGTGATCAGCCTTTTCCCTCACCAGAATGACCTCCTGAATCCCAGAACCAGGTGCCTGGCACTGGCCTGTCCAGAGCTCCTATTTATCGGCCACTTAGCAAGTGCCAGTCTTGTTCTAAACATAAAATGGCTTGTTAAAGCCTCACACCATTGCTTCAAGATTTTGGGCTTTTATCTCAATGATGAGGAAACAGGCACAGGCAGAAGCAATGGCCAGGGTCCTGAGGCTCCTAAGAAATCAGAGCCTGTGTCTGCATCTAGAGTCTGGTTCCAGAGTCACCAGATCATGGAAAAAGAAAGAGTTGAATTTGCAGATGTGGTGATGATTCTGAGTTTGCAGAGGGACACACACAGGCCCAGACATGTGAGGTGGCTTTACCAAAGGTCACACTGGTAGCACTAGGGTAGGGGACCTAGGGACCTGGGAATGGGGGCTGCAGACCCAGCTGTCCTCAACAAGCCATGCCGTGTGACTCGGAGGTGGAAAGCAATCTGCTACCAAACAGAGAGGTGCCCTAGGTGTGTCTTTTCCAGTCCCCAGGCCTCAGTTTCCTCATCTGTGAAGTGGGGTAACCATCTTGCCCATCCTCCTGATGGTGCTGAGGTTCAGCTCTCCTGAGGAAAGACGAGGACATCAGGAGCTGGAAGGCAGCAGGCAGATGTCACTTGGGTCCCAGCTCTCCTCTGTGGGCTATCGAAGCTTAAGAAAGCAGACACCAAGAGCCCAGGGCCTCTGGAGGGTAGAGGACAGTGGGGAGGAGACGGGGCCTCTCGGGGTGGGATGCCTGCTGCTCTCAGACCCAGGACCTGGCATTCCTGGGCCCTGGGCCCTTCGGTGATGGAAAGAAGCCTGGTACTGGAGAGGGGACAGGTGGCAGGGCCTAGGACCAGAGTGTGGGCCTGACCCTCCTCACACGCAGCCCACACACACACACACACACACACACACACACAGAGCCAGGCACTCTGCTGAATCAGGCTTGACCTCTTTCTCAGAGCCCAGGTACCCCGTGCATCCTCACCGAATCTTATCAAACCCAGCACTTTTCCTTGGTGACCAGCACTGCGGGACCACAACTGAGTGATGCAGGGTCCTACCTCTCCCTTTGGGCAAAGAGGAAACTGAGGCTCATCAAGAGGAAAAGAGGCTCATCAGCTCCTCGGGTCACCCCGCACTCCGTGGGGATAGCAAAGAGGAAGTAAATTCCCATCCATGTCCATCCTGCAGCCTGCAGGTCTCTGGGGAGCCTGGTCAGTGTCCTTCCCCCACCCCACCCTGCCCTGGCCCCAGCAGACACCTGATGCTCCCCGAAAGGTGCCCTCACCCAGTCCCCTCTCCTGGCCCCCAGGCCTGGCGCTGCAGCCCCAGATCCGATTACGGTCCCCCACTGCCCCCCTTCTTGCGCACACAACTCCCCACATTGTTGCTGTGGAAAGTTATCTGCCCCTGGAAGCTGCCTCCTGGCTGATTCACTCACCTGGATTGGGCCCCGGGAGTCCAGGGAATAGCTGGGCCCTGGGGAAAATCAAGAGCCTACTCTGGGGGCCCTCTCCAGGGGGTGGTGTGGGGGCCACAGGTTGGAAGCAGGGGCTTCGGGAGCCAGGGGTTCAGGACTGGGGTGGGGGCTGACACTTGACTTTCTCACCGCCTTCCCCCAGCACTGCCCACCCGGAGCTGAGCCAGGAGAGGAAGGGACCAGCACTGTTCGGCAGGTCTTGTCCCCACTCTGACTCAGCAGGCCACCCTACAGGCCTGGCGGGAAGCTGGAGGAGGGGGGGGGGTCTTTGGTGCCAGAAAAGATGACTGAGCACTCTGAGGGCCCCGAAAAAGAGCAGTCCCTGACTCTTCCCCACCGCAGTGTGGTCTCCAGGTGTGCGGGGAAAGGCCAGGAACCCCAAGACACCCAGGGGCCAGAGCTAACCGACGCAGAGAGTGGACGAAGGAGAGGCTGTAACCACCTGACTCCGGCCCCCAGCCCCAATGGGAATGTGGGAGTTCGCCAGGGACCCAGGAGCCCCCTCCCTGCTCGTCATCTCTCCAGGCCTCCCAGCAGCGCGCGAGGGCCGACAGACGGAGCAGGAAACCTGTGCTCCGCTGAGACTCGAGGGCTCATCGCAAGGGCTCTGCTCACGGTAAAGTTTGCGCGCGGCTCTCGGGGACCCTCGCTCTCTGAGGACCCCTCCGGGCCCCGGCGTGCTG